GTACCCCAAGACCCACTTTACTGCTTCCCAGTGTGCTTTTCCCAGATTCGCCATGAATTTGCCGACCACACTGACCGCCTGTGAAATATCTAGGTGTGTACAAACCATTACATATATTAAGCTGCCAACTGCACTAGCATAGGGAGCACGCTCCATGTGCGCCTTCTCTTCCGCTGTAGTGAGAGATTGTTTACCTGAAAGCATAAAATATGGAGCCAATGGAGTCACCACCGACTTTGCATTTTGCATCCTGAACCTCACGATCACCCGCTCTATGTAGCCCTTCTGACTCAAGAACAATTGCCTATTCGTCTGCTTTCTTCTAATCTCCATACCCAGTATTTTTCTAGCATCGCCCATGTCCTTCATCTTGAACTCTTTACTAAGTTGAGATTTCTGTCTATCTATCTCCACCATGCTATTCGAAGCAATAAGCATGTCATCCACATACAAAAAGATATAGATATAATCACCTCCACGAATCTTCTGAATGTAAACACAACAATCATAATTACTTCGAGAAAACTCATGCTTCAGCATGGATGAGTCAAATCGTTTGTACCACTGCCAAGAAGATTGCTTCAGTCTATAGAGTGACTTCCTCAAGCGACACACATGATTCTCCTTGTCCTCAACCTTGTAGCCCTCAGGTGATGCATGTAGATCTCTTCATCCAAGTCTCCGTACAAAAAGACTATCTTTACATTGAATTGTTCCAGCTCAAGATCACTATGAGTAACAATACTCAATAGTACCCGAATAGAAGTGTGTTTCATCATCAGAGAAAATATCTCATTGTAATCCACACCCTCTCTTTGTGCAAACCCTTTAGCCACTAGCCTCGCTTTGTACCTTCTATCACCAAGCTCTAAAGGATCTTCCTTTCTCTTATACACCTACTTACAACCAATAGTTTTTCTTCCTATAGGCAATAGGACCACCTCCCATATTTGGTTCTTCCGAAGAGATTCCATCTCCTCCTCCATCACAGCCAAGCAACTCATCATCCTCCACCGAGAGTGCGTACTCAATCAAATTTACCTACCCATAGTGTTCCAGAGGCTGATCTGACCCCAGCTTCTGAACCTGCTTGTATGATCACCTTAGTCTAGTGGAAGCCAAACTATCTTCGAGCTGCTGTTATTATAATACATGTACATTTTCTTGCTGAACCTCCTCCTGTTCAAGCTCATCATCTTCATGATCCTCCTCATGAATATGACTAGAGCCTGATTGGCTTTTAGGTTCTATTTTGATCACCTGGGATTTTGAAGTCCTAACAGTCTTAACACCACCATTATTGGATGCTCTGGCAATCATGGATTTCTTATCAAAGGTAACATCTCTGCTAATCACGAACTTGGAATCTTCTGTACACCAAAGGAGATAGCCTTTTACACCCTTTGCATACCCCAAGAATATTGCATGCTCCCCTGACGTAATAGTAGGTGGTACATCCAAAAATCATGAGCCTATCATAATCCCGAACCCCAGCTTTTCCTCGTTGACGTGATAGTAGGTGGTACATCCGAAAATCCTGAGCCTATCATAATCTGCATGCTCCCCTGTCGGGGTACATTACCATCCAATATCGAATGTAGAGAACGATTCACTATTTAACAAATTGTAGAAACCGCTTCTGCCCATCATTCTTTGCCTAAACCAGCATATGATCGCATACTAATTGCTTTCTCCCACAACGTACGGTTTAGTCTTTCTATGACTCTATTCTGCTGTGGTGTAGAACTGATCGTTCAGTGTCGAGCAATACCCTCATGATCACAGAACTCCTTGAAATCAGCTTCTGTATATTCTGTACCGTTATCAGATCTCAGTACCTTCAATTTTTTGTCTGTCCTGTTCTTAACCATTACTTTTTACTAATTGAATGTCTCGAATACCTAATTCTTATGCTTAAGAAAATAAATCCAAGCATACTAGAATAATCGTCTATAAACGAGACAAAATACCTGGAGCCACCCTTGGAACTTATCTGAGCTAGATCCCAAACATTTGTATGCACATAGTCTACTACACCTCTGTTCTTATGCTTGCTTCTCAGAAAATGACCCCTATGCGCCTTTCCGTACACATAATCCTCGCAAAAATCCATGCAAATTTCTTCATGTTCTTCAGCAAACCTTCCTTACCAAGCAGATCTAGACCCTTCTCTGACATGTTCCCAAACCGCCTATGTCATAACCGAGTGTGCTCACATGGGTCTTTACCACTTCCATCAGTTCTAATCGTTGCATCTTCTGTCACTGTCATACCCGAGAGAGTATATAGATTACCATGATGAATACCCTTCATCACTACTAAGGAACCCCGAACAACCTTCTTTACTCTATTCTCTGTTACTGTCTTGCAACCACCAGAGTCCAAAGCACCAACTGAGATAAGATTCTTCCGCAAGTCGGGAACATGCCTCATGTCCGTTAGGGTTCTGACCACTCCATTATGTATTTTGATTTTTGTATCACCAAGACCCACCATTTTACAAGCATTGTTATTCCCCATCAATACGGTTCCACCATAAATACTTCTATAGGTAGTAAACCACTTTCTATTTAGGCACATATGGTAAGAGCAACCCGAATTAAGAATCCACTTACCAGAGATATCTTCGCCACCCGTAACAACATAGCATTCTTTGTCGCTCCCTTCCTCCGAGACGTAACTCACCTCTTCTTTGCCTTACATTCTCTTGGTTTTATAGTTGTTCTTCTTCCCACCTACTCTCTTGTTAGGACGTGCGGTCAACATGAGCGAGGAAAAGGCAAGGGAGGACATTGATGTCACAAGGATTAGTGACATGTCTTGATTTCGATCTAGACTTTCCTCCCTTGCCTTTTCCTCGCTCATTGCCCCTTCCTCTTACAAACAATCCTTATGCTTGCTCCTTGTTACCACTAGTAGACATGTCACTAGTTGTAATTTTTAAAGATCATTCGCTAGAAGTGACGTTCTAGTCTCATCAATCTTTAAATTGTCACCCACAAGCATCAATATTTCTACCAGGTTCTCATAAGAATTTGGTAAAGAAAGAAATAGAAGAAGTATTTGATCCTCATCTTCTACTGTCACATCAATGTCCTTCAAATCCAATATGATCCTATTGAACTTGTTGATGTACTCCCAGATTGAAGAGCCTTCCTCCATTTTACAAGTATACAATTTAGATTTCAAGTAGATCCGATTTGTTAGACTCTTCGTCATGAAGGTACTCTCTAACTTTGACCACACGCCCGTAGCCGTTTCCTTTCCATACCAAGAAAGCAACGTCCCCCTCAAGGCATAGGATAATCGACGCTCGTGTTTCAAGATCTAACTCTTCCCAATTCTCATTTGATATATCTTTGTGTTTCTTTTCTTTTCCTGCCAAAGCATTGTGCAATTTCTACGAAATCAGCAAATTTTTCATCTGCATCCTCCAATAGGAAAAATCATTCTTTCCATTAAACTTTTTGATCTCGTACTTTCCAATTTTAACTGTTTTACCGATAGACGTCATCCTTAGCTTGTTTTAATAAACCGCCTCAAATCAGAAGCTCAACCACCGCCAATCTGAATAAGGGCTCTGATATCAATTGTTGGGTGTCGTGAGACGCCCACATTGTCGCGGAAGCGATATTAATCCTGAGAGAAAACAATCAACAAGCAATAACGAATACACAGATAAAACAATAAGTAAATGTGACGAAACAACAGATTTATGTGGTTTGACAAACTTACCTACATCCATGGCTACATCTACGAGAGCCGCACAAATAATTTCTTATTTAACCATAAGAAATTATAAAGCTTGCAAAAGAGAAGATATCAAACTTAAGATCTCTCACAACAAAACTCGTTACTATAGCAAATAGCTACAGGAACTTGTGCAATTTTTCCTTGACCGAAAAATTCACTTCTCAAAATGCCTTTGAGAAACGCCGCTACAGAGAATTTTTCTTCTCTGTAAAATCACGAGATGAGCTACACGTATTCTCGTGAACAGAGTTTCCATTTTATAGGGAAACCTAGGGCGAGCTCGAGCTGGCTTCCACCACGAAACCATCAGGCGAGCTCGTCCTCGCCTCCATCAGGCGAGCTCGGGGTCTTAGGTGAGATCCGAAGGCGAGCTCTCCACGCAAGGCCCGCATGCGAGTTCGAAGTCCAGCACCTCGCCCGCAGGGGAGCTCCTTCACCTCGCCTCTCAACACAGGCGAGCTCTTCCATGCCCACTCCCGCAGGCGAGATCCCTCGCTTCTTCAGGTGCGATTTCTTCATATGAAGAATGAAAGAATTGAGAGGTTGAAAAATAGAGAGGAAAAAGTTAGTTGGAGCGTGTGGTTGTGAGCCTGAGACGTAAGCTGGGATTGCTTTGTATTCTTGCTTTCTTTCAATTTGGAAAATGGTGTAAAATAATTAGGGTTAAAAGTCTCTTCTATTGATAGAATAGATTGGCTTATATAGCCTTACACACATTTACCTAAAGACCCCTCTACTATCCCTCAATTACATTAACTTCTCAACACTCCTCCTCAAGATGGGTGAAAGATATCTATTAATCCCATCTTGTCACACCCTCTAGCTAGATCTACTGAGCTAAGTCCTTTAGTCAAGCAGTCTGCAGCCTGCTCCTTAGTCGAGACATGGCCTAACTCCAGTAACCCACTGTTCAGCTTCTCCTTGATGAAGAATCTGTCAATCTCGATGTGCTTAGTTCTGTCATGCTGAACTGGGTTGTTAGCGATGCTGATAGCTGACTTGTTGTCGCACCACAGACTCATCTTGGCCCCTTGATCAAGATTCAGCTCTACCAGCATGCTCTTCAGCCACATCAACTCCGCAACCCCCAAGGCCATGGCTCTGTACTCTGCTTCAGCTGTTGATCTTGCCACCACAGATTGCTTCTTGCTTTTTCAGGAGACTAAGTTGCCTCCTACAAATATACAATACCCTGAGGTAGATCTCCGATCATCTCCGCAGCTAGCCCAATCTGAGTCACAGTAGCCCTAAATGTTCACATGGCCACTCCTCCTGAATCTTAGTCCTTTGCCAGGGGCACCCTTCAGATATCTCAATATCTGGTATACTGCATCCATATGACCCTTCTTTGGGTCATGCATGTAGCGGCTCATCATGCTTACAGCAAATGAGATGTCTGGACGTGTGTGACTCAGGTAGATAAGCCTACTAACCAATCTCTGATATCTCTCATGATCAACAGGTTCTCCTGCTTCAACACTCAGTCTGAGACTCTGATCAATCGGTGTAGCAGTAGGCTTGCACCCCAACATCCCCGTTTCTGTAAGAAGATCCAGTGCATACTTCCTCTGGGAGAGAACAATCCCCTTAGGTCCGTGAGCTATCTCTATCCCAAGAAAGTATCGAAGCTGACCTATATTCTTCACTTCGAATTCTTTGCTCAATCTTACCTTGAGCTGAGCAATCTCCTTCTCATCATCCCCTGTGATGATCATGTCATCCATATACACTGCCAGCATAGTGACGTGACCGCCACTTCTTCTGAAGAATACAATATGATCGGCATTGATCTGTCTGTATCCCATACCAACCATGGCTCTCCTAAACCTGTCAAACTATGCTCGAGGGGACTGCTTCAGCCCATACAGAGACTTCTTCAACCTGCAGACCTTACCCACTGTCTGTCCTGTGCCACATCCAGGTGGTATCTCCATATACACCTCTTCCACTAGATCTCTATGAAGAAACACATTCTTCACATCCAGTTGATGTAGTTCCCATCCACCATTTGCTGCTAGAGAAATTAGCGTCCGAACAGTACTCATCTTCGCCACTGGTGCAAAAGTTTCATCGTAGTCAATGCCGTATGTCTGACTGTACCCTTTTGCCACCAGTCGTGCCTTGTATCATTCGACCTTCCCTTTTGTATTCTGCTTCACAGTAAACACCAACTTGCATCCCACTGCTCTTTTCCCCGCTGGTAGTGTCGCTAATTCCCATGTGTGGTTCTTTTCAAGAGCCCCCAGCTCCTCATGCATAGCTGCCTTCCACTTTGGGTCCTTCTTAGCATCCTGCCAGTTGTTAGGTATAATAACAGAATTTAATGATGCAATGAATGATCCATATGAAGGGGATATGTGAGAATAGGAAACAAATTGAGCTAGATCCCAACCATATCTCTCAGGAGGATTTCCCGCATTACTGCGAGTAGTCCTCCTTACTTACATTGGAGTGGGAAGAGGGGTAGGAGTAGGAATGGTATTATCTGAAGTGAAGGGTAGTATAGGTGTCTCAGGAGTTGGAGTAGAGCTGGACAAGGGACTAGGCACTGGCACTGTAACTGTAGGCACTGGCACTGTAGGCACCTCTGGCTCCTTACCCCTCCTACTGTATGTAAGTAACTCCCCCTGAGCTGTAGGCCTAACACCCCTTATCTCCTCCTCCTCCCCTTTGTCTTCATCCTCATTCTCCTTTGAGTACGTAATCGAAATTGGGATTAACCCCCTTGAGCTCTCATCATTCTCCCCTTCTCGCCTCATACCTCCAGTATCGGGCAGGTCGCCAAATGGTGAAGTAACCTCCACTGTGTAGTACGGCTCCCGCTCCCGAAACCGTACATCCATGCTGACAAACAATCTTTTCTTCACCGGGCTCCAGCAAACATACCCTTTCTGGGTGCCATTATATCCCACGAATATACACTTCACAGCCCTAGGGTCTAGCTTCCCAACCGATGGTATCTGTTGTCCTTCACAAAGCACACACAACCAAAAACCTTCAATGGTAGGGTCCCCCCGTTATCTCCCTTCAGTGTCTCACGAGGTGACTTCCACTCCAACACACTCGAAGGCATCCTGTTGATTAAGTGAGCAGCAGTTAAGACTGCTTGTCCCTACAACATCTTTGGAACATTCATCGTCATCATCATACTCCTAGCAACTTCTAGGAGATGTCTGTTCTTCCTCTCTGCTACTCTATTCTGAGCTGGGGTATATGGACATGTAGTCTGGTGTAGAATCCCCTGAGTTGATAGATACTCCCTAAGTGTTCTGTTGGTGTACTCTGTCCTATTATCCGACCTCAACACCTTTACTACTGTAAAGTACTGAGTCTGGATGTCCTTATGAAAATCTTTGAAACAGTTAACTACATCACTTTTTTTTTATAAGATACACCCAAGTGACTCTAGAGAAGCAATCAATAAATATAACAAAAAACTTGCATCCATTTATAGAATTTACTGGGCAGGGTCCCCATACATCAGAGTGTATTACTTCAAACTTACACGAACTCCTATTACTCAAACTAACATAGGAGCTTCTAGTAAGTTTCCCAAACTTACAAGCATCACATTGAAGTTTCTGCTTATTTACTTTTTCAAACAGAGTTGGATACATCTTCCCCAAAATGCCGAATGACGGGTGTCCCATTCGTTGATGATAGAGCATTAACTCATCTTCTGCACACACTTTAGCTCCTCTTGTTCCCGTCCTCTCAACTACAGATGTCAGCGCTGAGTCCATCCCTTCACGGTCCAGGTACCACAGCCCACTACGCCATGTCCCAGTCCCAAGTCTTCGCCCCGTCCCCTTCTCCTGGAAGACCACCTTAGGAAATATCAAACAAAATAATACACTTTAGTTGGAGGATAATGGCACTAATGGATAACAGGCTAACAGGAAATGAAGGAGCATGCAGAACATTACTTTAGTTGGAGGATAATGGCACTAATGGATAACAGGCTAACAGGAAATGAAGGAGCATGCAGAACATTAGATAGAGTTATAGAACCTGTACAATAACAGGCTAACAGGAAATGAAGGAGCATGCAGAACATTAGATAGAGTTATAGAACCTGTACAACTAACGGTGCCCTTACCAACCACAGCCTGTGCTGTACCATCAGCGATCTGGATGCTCTCTACTTCTGCCAAGTGAGTGTAAGATGAGAACTCACTGGCATTGCCTGTCACATGTCTGGATGCTCCAGAATCCATTATCCAAGCGATGGATCTTCCCTCATTTGGGTGTGCGCAAAGGGAGTAATTAGCATAATCTCCTCCAGAAAAAATAGTAGATGCCTCCTCAGACACATCACCTACTGCTCTCTGCTTCCTCCTCAGTGCTTCCAAGAGCGCTCGATCCTCATCAGTGAAGATCATCTCAGCTTCTTCCCTTTCTGCCACAGTTAAGTTTGCCCGGTGGCCTCCTCTTCCACCTCGTCTGCCTCCACGCCCACGGCCATGGCCTCCAGCTTGACCACGTTCACCCCAGTTCATCTCCCTGGGTAGCTTAGGGCACATCTGTCTCAGATGCCCTATCTCTCCGCAGTTAAAGCACTGCTTAGTCTCCCCTCTGAATCTAGTGTTATCCGGATTGGATACCATTAGTGCAAACTTCTCCCCTGTAAGTCCACCCGTCCCAGCGTGTAGCCTGATACGGCTCTCCTCCTGTATCATGGCCGAGACTGCCTCCTCCAGTGATGGGATCTTCGTCTGGGTTAATAGCAACGCCGTTCTCTGCTCATACGCACGAGCCAAACCTCGAAGAAACAACATAGTCCTCTTCTGCAGAGAGGCCTCACGTTCCTGTTGGCCTTCTTGTTTTGATGATGTTTAACAAACAATTTACCACTAATGTTGTTTGTCTAGTATTTGTGTTTTCGTATTTATTGTAGACAAACAACGTTGTTGGAGGATGGATGGAATAGAGCTTCAACGATCATATCCAAAGGAGGTTGGCGGAATGTCGGTGAAGCCTTGCTATTCAAAGTTCAAGATCCAAGTTAAAGCTTCATCCGAGAGATTACCTAGAAGAGCTTCGTTGAAGATCAAGATTGCTTGGGTAATGTAGTTTAGGATTTATATTATGTGTGTTAAGTACTCTAAGCTCAATATAATATACACACACGTATTTGGTTTCTATGTATATATATAGTTATATATATACATGCATGGTTTTGGGTTTTCATATTTATAATATGAAATCACATATTTCATATTTACTATTGTGTTTTTGAAAACATTGCATAGAATATGCAATTTTGTGAAAATATTATTTTTGTAGGCTGTCTAAAAATCACAATAGATAGCTGATCCCCATCAAACACCGATGA